TTAATTTTTTAAGTGCCACTCAAACTTCTAGACCATGTATACCTTTGCTGTGAACTGGAAAAGCAAATTACTTCAGTGAGGTTTGTGCCCATATATGGAAGACCGAATTTGTCTTCTATGGCATTGTTTCTCTTTAGCTGATACTGCATTCTTCAATGGTGCGGAAACAAGTTTGAGGGCCTATTCCTAGCCTCAGTGCAGACCACTAAGCTTGAGTATCACAACAACAAATCATATAATTAATCTACTACATATTTGAGAGCGTTGTCCATCTGTCTGTTCAAGAATGCCACCTGAATGGTAAGAGCTATGACCACCAAATTAGGAATACAGCTTCCTCTAATCCTATCTTAAAGCACTATAATGGTTTGGTTGTGGAAGGGATGTGCCTGGAATGCTATTGCTTCTCATAAAAGCATACAGAAAAGAGACAGAATCACCAGACAGATGAAAGGAGCTGGCTGAGGATGTGCTCCACCCCCTCTTCCCTGGTCTGGGACTACCCCAGCCCTGACCCTGCTACCCACCAGGCACCCATTAGAGAGGATGGGGAAATTGAAGTTCACCTCCATGATTCGTATGGAGAAACTGCTGGCTGTTCTCCTTCATCAGGAAGTGAGGGAAAGTGCTTAGTTAGCTGCATTCCTCACTTTGGCTGGGGAGTAGAGGGGGCAGAGAAACCTGGATCTGCTCCAGCTGGGAGACAAACACCCGTCCCACAGCCATGCAGCCATAGAGAGGCACTTCTTAACTGGCCCCAAACTGCTGTGGTGAGAGAGGGTTGAGGTAGTGCCTCTCTTCCCGAGGCAGCCTGAATACTGAGCCCCTCATCTCCTGCCCCACCCCAGAGCAATGAATCAAATGACACGTACATTTTCATTTTATTTTTCAAAAAGAATGAATTGCGTTAAGAACCCAAGCAAGGCCGGGTAAATCATCAAGTATAACCATAATAGCAATTTTCAGGTCTGGCTCTCAGGAGGTATAAATTGATACAGATCCACTGAATTCACTGATTTATACCAGCTAAGGAGCTGGCCTTCAGAGTCTTATAAAGGTCTATAATAATCCAAATCCAGAAAAATTAGTCCCTACCTTCTGACATAAACTTGAAGTGAGAATCCCCGATGGCATAGTTATTGCTTCTGGAATACTTAATTTCTGAAAAATATTTTGTCTAAATTATTGGCATGACTATTTTGACTGTAAAGTTCCCAGACCTGAGGACCAACTCTATGGAGCTCAAAAGCTCATCTAAAGAAGTTGGTCCAATAAAAGATAGTACCTCATCCACCTTGTCTCTCTAGTAAGGTGTATGGCAGCAAAGACAGGCAGTCTCACCCCAGAGTCTTGGATTTCAGTCAAAGATGAAACAGAAAATATAAGATAGCAGCCTTTTCTCCTTTTTCAGAGGCAGCATTTTCATCTCCAAAATACGGTGTCCTAAAGCAACAATATAAATTTTTCAAGCAAGTCAGCACATTTGAAACACACTCAGGTTTAAGTTTAAGATGAAAAGATTTCTTGGATTTCTGAGTTTATTCATGAAATCTGGGGTGGGCGAGAGGCTTTCAAATGTTCTAACTTGTTTTAAAAATTAT